TTTATTCTGAAGGCCTGCTAATTAGCTTTTGTTTCTCTGTTGGCAACTTGGCGCAGTTCTTCTAAACCCGCCTTCGTCAGCACATCTTACGCCAATCATTCTCATCGGGAATTCAATGAGCGCCAGCTGGAGGGCGGAGGCGCAAAAATAGCTCGCAGGAGTTGGATTTACCGCCAATTAGGCATTTTTGTAGTTTTTTGAGTCTCTTGAGTGAATTATCCATGGGTTCCGAGAAACCCCTTGCCAACTGGACTCTTTGCACCTCAGCTTCCGCGTTCGGGGAAAAGCGGCTGGATTGTTTCCGATCCAATAAAATATAATTTTACACTAGGTACTTACAGGACTTGGCCAAGGTTTGTACATCGATCCGAAGCCCCAACAAGTCAGTTGGAGAAAGATTTTAAGATGTACGCCTCGTTATACATTTACTGATATGAAGGTGAGTTTTACTTAATCTTTGTGGCTAACATTAACCTTAGCTTATGCTAGTAGGCAATATTCTTGGACATTGTTCTTGTAAAAATGTGCTATTTAAGTATCTAAACATTCTAACGGACAATGTTTTTCTTATTTTCAAGTATATTATGTGTGTTTATTGTCGTTAGTGTCACAGACTAACGAGGTTACGGTTCGGACTTTTTACTTCCGAAGCCTGACGAAGCACAACAAGCCTCGTAGCTTAACAGTAGCGCAGCTCTGGTGTCAGAGATCTGGTTCAGCTGTTCAGGTTCAAAGCTGTTTTTAGAAAAATATGACCGTGTTGCTTCATGTCTCCGTGTTATTTCGGTTTATTACCTTTGCATGTTTCTTGTTCAGAGCTCAGATAGGACGGTGTTTACAGCAGTATGTACAGGCGGCTCGGCTGTCTGGCTCTGGTCTGCTCTCTGGTTCCCATAAACTCGCTTTTTCAGGGTGAATACAGAAGTGATTCCATGGAAATAACTCAGGGAGGCTCCTTTATTTACCATCGTATACCCGGTAGTTTTAGGCTAAAGAAGCTGATCCAGAGTGAAGTGAAGGCTGCAAACTTTGCTGTTAGCTTTAACTGGTAGTGACAAATATTTACAAGCCACCATCTTCTTAATTCAGGATCACTTGGAAATTAACGAAAACTTAAAAGCCCATTATATTAGGAAGAAAACAATGTTAATAGTTTTGTTTTTTTTTTGCATCTGAAATACGACTTAGTCTTTTCTACCAGTCATGGTAACTCAAAGCGGAAACAAGTGAGCCGCATTAGCTCCTGGAGATGTGACGTCAACGCCGTAGGTGCAAAGAGCCCATTGACATTTTTTATAGGCGTATTTGTGAGCCTGCCTCTATTATTGAACTGAATATAATTTCAGATTTTTGTTTTTCTTTTTTCAGGTTAACTTAGAAAGTGAGCTATTATTGTTAT